CCACCTGGCACAGCCCCACTGCGTGCCCCCCACCCCCGCTCCATGCCAGGACCCCGCCCTGTGAGTGGTTGCAGGGGCAGCAGGAGTTGAGTCCAATGAGACAGCTGGGCATCATCGTGGGAGTGGGTGACGTGGAGCCCGGTGCACGGGCGGAAGGAGCTGGGCCCTACTTATGTGTGTGTACACACACGCACACCCTCCTAACACCAAACTACCAACCAAACTCGCCAACCAAGCTCAACCAACCTACCAACTGAATTCACCAACCAAACTCAACCAACCAACTGAACTCAACCAGCCAACCAAACTCACCTACCAACCAAACTTGCCAACCAAGCTCAACTAGCCTACCAAATGAACTCAACCAAATTCACCCAGCTAACCAAACTCAACCAACCTACCAACTGAACTCCACCAGCCAACCAAACTCAACCAACCTACCAACCAAACTCGCCAACCAAGCTCAACTAGCCTACCAAATGAACTCAACCAAATTCACCCAGCTAACCAAACTCAACCAACCTACCAACTGAACTCCACCAGCCAAACTCAACCAACTAACTGAACCAACCAACCAAACTCAACCAACCTACCAACTGAACTCCACCAACCAACCAAACTCAATGACCCATCAATCCCTCACCCAACCAGCCAAACTCAACCCATTAATCCGCCTACCAGGCCAGAAAACCAAGCCCAGAACCAGCCTGAATGAAATCTCACCCTGTTGTTTATCCCCATGTCAAAATCTCTAATGCTTGTTCTTAAAGAAAAAGAAAAAGGAACCGGTTTTTCTACCCAGGCTCTCCCTCATGGACGTGCTCTGTGATGCTAGCCACCAGCACTCCTTCCGGAAGTCCTTGTGCAAATCCTTTCGATAGCGTGGAAGGAAGTTCCCGTCCTCCTGCCTCCCTTTCCCCTCGGACTGCAAAATGTGCTCACCATACGAACACACAGACGTGTCTGGAAACCAAATACTCCAACTGGCAAGACCGTGCGGCACTGAGATACAAATAGCTCTTCTCCAAGGGCAAACGGGTGACGCCTGGAGGGGGCAGGAGGGGGGCAGAGCAACCAAGAGCCCAGCGCCCCAGGACTGGCCCTGCCACACGACCCGCGACCCTGAAATTCAGGGCGATCGGATGAGCTGGGGAGGTGACTGCTGCCTGCCCATCGCCCCCTCACTCTGGCTCCCTCTCGGCTGTCACCCCCCCCGCCCCCCCCACAGCTGTTCTCTCCATTGTCATGGCAAGTGTGTGCCTGGCTGCCCGCATCCACGCGTCCCTCCGAGTAGCCAGCAATCAGCTGGACAGAGAATGCGGATGAATCAAGTCTGATTCCCTTCTCTGCAAGGGCGTCTGCTAAACGGAGGCCTTAGAAAACCGACCAGCACCCTGCTGTCTCTGAAGGCCGTCTCATCAGCTCAGACCGTCCGTCTAGGAGGACGGGCCGGGGTGGGGGGGTGCAAACTTCTGAGACATCGAGGCCCGACCGAAACGTCAGGAACCTCATGTTCTCACGGGGAGCATCCTCCTCTAACCGGCTGAGCGGCGTAACAGGTCCTCACACGCATCCAGAAAAGCCAACTGTTGGCAGGCCTCTCCCACCCATGGTGCGAGCCTTTTAGGGGTGTCCGTGAAGGCTCCCGGGAACTGGGGTCCCCACAGGAGCACCTGACAACCCTTGCAATAAAGCAAGCCCTTCAGAAAGGTAACGCTCCATAGACTAAGGAGCCACCTGTCTTTTAAAAAGGGTTGGAGACCCACGCCCGCCAGCCCGCCCCGCCCTGCCCCTCCTGCAGGATTCCCGGGGGCCCGGGTCCAGGGGACAGTGGCCTCTCTGTTTCACAGTCATTCTTCCTCCCCACACAGGTACCAGCCAGTCAGACGCCGCCTCATCGACACGGACGAGTCACACAGGCACTGCCGGCCGTAAGCAAATGTCCAGGTGCCACACACAGGACGGGGCACAGGGCGCCACAGAGCAGCTCCCAAGAGGGACCACCGGCAGCCCCCCTCCCCGGCAGGCCCCCCGAGAGGCAGAAACGACAGGCAGGCGTTGCGGGCCCTCCCCTTGCCCAGCCCAGAGCCGGGCTCAGCAACCTTCGCACTCACAGCCTCACTTGCACGCACGGCCCTGCTTTGTCAGCCTCGAGGGCGAGGCCCACACGGGAACACACGGAGAGGACACGGGAAGACGGGGCCCAGGACAGTGACTGCACGGCAGGAGCAGATGACGGGGAGACGGAAGAGAGGGACAGAGTGTGCTGCCCGGGGGGCGGGGTGCTGGTG